CCAGCTCGTGTGCCAAATTTCAGGTCTTGAAACTCTTTATTAGAACCTGCGTAATCGGCCACTACCCGAAAGTGGTCCCTATCAGGGGCACAGTCATTTTTCCCGCATTTTTTTCTGGAAAATGAGGTATAGTTCGAGGGCTATAGTTCATCGCCACAAAACATTTTCTCAAAGTACAATTTTTTTTGGGCTGGTAGGGTGTGCTCTAAGCTATCATCCGATACCCCAACCTCTTCATAAATCATCGTGACGCCAGAGAACGAGCTGCCTGAGTAGTGGGGGGGGGCTTAGGTGGTCCTCAATTGGCAATTTTTTTCACTCTAATAATAATAGGTTCGCATGGACAATAAATCAAATCAAAACCACATGCAATGTTGTGTGTGAACGACTGCTGCTGCTGTACACATGCATGCTCTATCTCCTGCAGTATCGCCGCAGCACGTTCATTACGGTGTTTGCGAACATCGGAATCCGATTTGATTTCGATCTTTTTCATCTCGAAATACAACCGGGCAACTTCGAAAATGTAACCCCAACACCAGTCCGCAAACACCCTATTCTGTGGTGAGAAAGGACGTGCCACCACCCGTCCCGGAGCCCAAGTGCGGCAGAATCAGCGAGCATAAACGTACCGATTTACTTCATTCACTCAGGCGGGCGGTGTTCCTGTGGCTCCCTCCTATTGTGCGCAAATTGTTTGGTAGCTATGTAGCGTGCGTGCCTAATCGCGGCCCTCCATTCATAACTTAAGGTTAGCGCTGAAGAACATCAGCAGAGCATATGCGATTGGCATACAGCAGCAGTACATATATGTCCACGCGACAATTTTAGAGTAGACTACACATATCGTGTGTACGATACGTCCAGGTTTGTTGTGGACCGCTTGTGGACAGACAGGCAGGAGTAAGATCCAACACCACACCAGTGACTTCTGAAGGACAAAAAAGAGTGAAAAAGATTATGCTCTTGTCCAATCCGAGAATCGAACTCGGGTTTCCACAGCCACAATGTGGTGTACTGACCACTATACTAATTAGACAGCGCGTTTGATTGTCAAATTGTTTTACATATAAAAGATGGTTGTAGATAACAGAGCTCTGCCTGCCTGTGTGCCTGTGTCACACTCTCTCGCCCTCTGTATCCATCATCCCCGGCTTCTCGAGCCGATTAGCCATGAAGCCTTATTGGGAGAATGACAACGAATAGCGTCAGAGTGCATTGCATGCTGCATCTAGAAGTCAGCTGCGAGCAGAACGCGGACCACAACATTTTTAAGGAAGAATAAATACTCGCACAAAGACTGAGACTACCCATTCGACCGACATGTATTAGACTATTGATTATTGCTACACCGCCGTTCGTGTATGGTACAAAGTTGTGAGAGCAGAATGTAGGCACAAGACACATTCCTCGTCTGCCATCTACCAATTAGGAACCACAGGCGTGTGCTTTGCGCGTGCTATTATACAGGAAGGGGGCGGCGAGATGAGAATACACGAAGTCCGCGTCGCGTGATGACTCTAGCTTCCGCCTTTTCTACTGGCGTGTACCATCTACAGCAGCAGAAATTTCTTTTGCAAGTTTCCGGCGGTGTTGCGGTGAGTACAGCAGTAGTGTTGTCTACCACACAAGATACTGCTGTAGTCTACTACTGTATGCCTACTGTAGTACCGACTCGGTAAACACAATGTTTCATGGCCTTACGTACATGTGGCGCGCTGCGCTGTTTCGCTAGGGTGAGTTTCAGAACATCGAAGATTCACGGTTGGCTTTTTTAGGGACACGCAAGATCGGGCCAGCTTGGGCCAGCAACTAACAATTTCGGGTTGAGCTTGCGTGGAGCCATGTCGAGCGGGCAGTTATCTCTTCACTTTTTTGGCGTCGCCGTCGCGATCGTCGAGCACATTGTAGGTTCTTTGTTCATAAGGTCCAACGCTGCTGTTAGCCTGGACTATCTAACGAAAAACTTCGTCTGCATGGCCCTCCTCGGTGTCACTTGACTGGTTGGTGCTTCCGGAAACGAAAACGTACCGAGAGCCGAGGTCGTAGGAAACATGTTGCTTTAACACAAAAAAACACATGTGTGCGATCATTCAAGGTCTTCTCCATGGACGGGTTGAAACAACTGGTTTGAACACAACATACACGATTCAGGAAGCAATACATTTCCGGTTCCGGCCTACTATTCATCTTTCTGTGTAGACTAGATACGAAGATGCGCGAGGGAAAAATTCAGCTCCACCAAAAACACGTTCTCTCCGACACTACTTGCATAGAATCGATGCAGGCTTGCAGAGAAGAGCACGGAAAACAATCCCGCACATTCGTAGCAAAAAAGGCGAAACGCTATCATCATCGCAGCCCAAAACACTCGCACTCAATTCGCACAACATGGGGGACACACCACAACTGTACTTTCACTGTTACCCCGGACCGTCAACAATTCCCCCGGCCCAGGTCCAAAAATGCACACAGCAGCTACCAGCGGGCTCTCCTAATGTTACACAGGTGGCCTCTGCTACGCTATGCAATAGCTATTAGTTCACCCAGAGACACGATTCCCGCACTTTTCCCGTGAAAAAAAAAAAAACGTGTAACAGTCCGTATTGGATGTGTGCACACGGTTTTTAATGTGAAGACAACACAACAACAAAAACACGACGGGAGGCCTGCACTGATACTAGACGCGTAGGCGCGAAGAAAGCAACCAAAACCATGCACGCACTGGTTCGTGCCCAAGTCGATAAAACTTCGCCCGACATACCCAACAAACAACGCCTTCAAAACAAACAGAAGAATTGAAAGATACATGCCTGACCCCTTTAGTTTGAGGAGGTGGACGCAACAGGACAAGGGGGGCAGCTTGCCGCTGGAAAAACAGCTCCCCTTCTTCCTTCATTAATAACTCCAATCGCCTCATTCGCACGCGTCGACCCGCCTGGAGCTTTTCGCGCTGGCGAAACGCTCTCTCCCCAACACGCAACGCCGGCCGAAACACGGCGTTCGAAAACGAACGGATCGTTTTCTTTGTGCCCCCCACCCAAATCAGTCCGCGTCCCCACCTTGTTCCTGTCCCCCCCTCGTCTTAACAAAAAAAAATACGGCAAAGAAGAGTGTGGTCGAAATAAACAAGTCTGCTTAGAGGTGCTCGTTTCCGGCATCAACGTAGGCAATGTCAGCCTTCATCATGTCCTTGACCAGCTCCGTGAACGAGATCTCCGGCACCCACCCCAGCTCCTTCTTCGCCTTGGTACAGTCGCCCTGAAATAAGAGGAGACGGCCAACGAGCAAGCAGACCCAGGCCGAATTAATTGTGCGCACATTGTGCTGTTCAGGCCGAGTCTTACGTCGTCATTATTTCGGGATTTTTTTTCGGGGGGGGGGGGGGGGGG